GAATACCTTTAAAACTTTTCATCATAGCAATACTGTGAAAGTCTAGAAGACAATGAACAAAAATTGGATATTAAAGGAGGTTGTTCAGCGGAGCGAAAATTTAAAATGTTGTATTACTCTAATGGTTATGTTGGTTTGCGAGGGCGTACCTTGAAAACCTAGAAATCGTTGAGAGAAGTCATTGTTTACAAAAGTTGCTACGCCCTTATTACAGTTCTATCTTGAAATATGACAAACCTAGAATTCACTAGGCTCAACCAAGACTCACACGAACAGCAACAGCAAGTGAAATACAAATCTAGATAGAGCTCTAATGAAGGCGTAACAGCTTTTGTAAACAATTACTTCTTCCGCATTATTCTCCTACCCGCTGGTTATTAGACTTATGCAAAATTTCAAATTTTCGCTTCGCAGTGCTTAAACGATTCCAAATCGGGCCTCCCAAAATTTGAACTCATTTTTAATAAACTGACTTGGCTATAACCATTTGATGTTTATATGAAAATTACTATGGGAAACTAGACGGTTGTTCACATCTATCTAACAATTCACCACATTGCTCTGCATTGAAAAATGATAGCTGTGTTTGCAGGAGATTTTCTTTTCTTTTTTCAAGACCATTTATCGATAAAATGCAAGGAACAAAATTGATTAATGATTGAGTCGACCTGCACGGATTTGCATGAAACTTTGCATAATTGTGTGAGCAATCATACACATTTTTGCAAAAATTCGGGCAGTTTGGATCCTGTATGTTTTTTTCAAAATGGCGTCTTTGACATTTTTCAATAAATTGTAGCACGAAAACGTAACTTCTGATTGAAATGACGTCTGAAACAAAGTTGTTAAGAAAAGTAAAATCTTTTGAAAAGAAATATATACGGTTGTTGAAAACTGAAATATTTAAAAAAGTATATTCGGACATTTCGGTTGAAGCAGAGAGAGCATTTTTGGTTGCCCAAAATATTGCAAATAAATCCGTTGTTGAATCGCTTAGTATAATATGCCTGTTGATGTTCTACTTTGCTGTGCAGCAGTAATATCTAAGATTGAATTTGAATAATAAATGCTTTTTTACTGGAAAATAGATATATTTATATGAATATAAAGATAGATATATAAATTATATAGATAGATAATAGATATACTTTTACCAATACTGAAAATGTCAAGTAATTTGGTATGCGTAAGTGCGTAATTTTTATCGAATACACCCTTTAATATTTTCGAAACTTTTTGCAAAGAGTACCGTGGCCAAAAAATTTAAAAAAAATCGTTCCCTTCATTAACAACATTCACATTTTAGCAAGGAAAACAATTTTAAGCATATGAATATAGGGTAAATTTCGGCTTCGGTACCCATTGACTGTTTTCGGCAACATAAATTTAAACGTTAATTTCACTGCATTTTCCTATTAAAACAGTTCGCTGAATGTATTTACGCGAGTCCTTAGTCTTTCAGCTTCAATCTGATTTCAGTTTTGCGATTGGGTCAGCTGAGAAGTTTGGAGTGCTGTAAAAATGCTTTCAAACAATTTTGGATAATCATGTTGATTGGAATGGATAGCGAAGCAAGCAGCATAGAAATGTAAACAAACAAACACGTTATATGTGTGCGTGATGCTGAGAAAATGCTAATAGATGCGCAGGTGTATATTGACGAGAATGCGTAAATTCCCATATTTATCAATTATATATTTACGACTGTCATGGAAATGGTTGGTTGCAATTGGTTTCTCATTTTACTAAAATTAAATAAAACCTTATAGGGAGTGACATTGGGCCAAAACATAAATTTAAAGGGTGATACGGTCAAAATTTGGTCAAGGGAAAACGCGTGTAAATCGGTGAAATCGTTTATTTAAAAAATCAAAGTAAATTTCTTTTTCAAGTTCAATTAGTATAAAATTCAGGAAAAATATTCAGTTAGGCTTCCGCTTTTCCAAATCCGAATTGCCGGGCTTTACGCTTGACCCCTGCCATCAGATTTTGTACAGCCACCTTGTCCACCTTCTTCGCCGCAGAAAGCCAGTTTGCCTTGAACTGCTGCTCGCCCTTAGCAGTTTTTTGGTCTTCTTTAGGTTCCGCTTGACAATAGCCCAGTATTTCTCAATTGGGCGGAGCTCTGGCGTGTTGGGAGGGTTCTTGTCCTTGGGAACCACCTGCACGTTGTTGGCGGCGTACCACTCCATGGCCTTTTTACCGTAATGGCAAGATGCCAAATCCGGCCAAAACAGTACGGAACAACCGTGTTTCTTCAGGAAAGGCAGCAGACGTTTATTCAAACACTCTTTCACGTAAATTTCTTGGTTGACAGTCCCGGAAGCTATGAAAATGCTGTTTTTCAAGCCACAGGTACAGATGGCTTGCCAAACCAGATATTTCTTTGCGAACTTTGACAGTTTCATGTGCTTGAAAACATCTGCTACCTTTCCCCTTCCTTTTGCCGTATAAAACTCTTGTCCCGGAAGTTGCTTGTAGTCGGCTTTGACGTAGGTTTCGTCGTCCATTACCACGCAGTCAAACTTCGTCAGCATCGTCGTGTACAGCCTCCGGGATCGCGCTTTGGCCGTCGTATTTTGTTTATCATCGCGATTTGGAGTCACTACCTTCTTGTAAGTCGATAGTCCGGCTCGTTTTTTGGCTCGATGCACGGTTGTAGACGATACACCCAGCTTATTTGCGGCATCTCGGAGAGAGAGGTTAGGGTTTCGCTTGAAACTACCGGCAACTCTCTTTGTCGTCTCAGCGGCTTCCGGTTTTCGATTTCCCCCCGATCCAGACTTCCTGGCTGTCGACAAACGTTCCCCAAACACTTTAATTACATTTGTAACGGTTGATTTGGCAACTTTTAGCGATTTTGCCAACTTTGCGTGCGAGTAGCTCGGATTTTCGCGATGCGCGAGCAAAATTTTGATACGCTGCTCTTCTTGCTTGGACGGCATTTTGACAACTGAAGAGTGAATTCCAAAATCAAAATAGGAGCAACATTCTACACACACACACCTTCAAAATGAGGGGTGTTCAGGTTTTTTAAATGCAAAATTGAAAGAAATACGTCAAGTTGATATTGACCAAATTTTGACCGTATCACCCTTTAGTTAAATTTCTTAAAATATGTAAATCTAACGTAGCTATTAGAAGTACACATGGTTATGATCACAATGTACTTCGTATGCATGGCTAAATATTGCGTGTAAGCTTCGTCTATCCACATAAAAGTCTGTTCAAACTTTTATTTGCTTGTGGACATTTTTAAAAACGTGTTTTTGCGACTATTTATGAACTTTACAGCACTATTTAAATAAAACAACTGGTTAAAGTTATGTACACTTTACTCCAGGAGTTCGAGAAACATGTTCTAGACTTCATTTTTTGTATATTCAAAATATTTCCATAAATAAACATTTTTTAATTTTGGCCTAATGTCTATCCGTATTACGGTTCATTATTTTCAATGAACAATTGTTTGACGATTGATTATTTGGGCTATACAAGAGTAAAACTGTTTTAAATGCATGGTTCATTAAATTTTATCCTACTGTAAAAAATATAGTAGGTATATCTCGTAATAAACAGTAGCCGTGATTATAACATTTTGCCGTAGTGCTGGTTTCATGTCGGCTTATTTGGTCAAAGATTCAGAATGTTACTTGGGATAAATGTTTCCTGAAATCAAAGGGAATATATTGTCAAATTGATAGAATGTTATTGTTGATTCACGAAGTTTTAAAAGATAGCACTTCCATTCATGAAAAAATTTAACGCGGAAATGTAAAACTCTAAACAAAATCCCTGTTTTGCCTGATGATGTTGGTTAGCTGAGCATCCAGTTAAATTTGCCGGATTGTTGGTTATTTAGTATAATGTACTTTTGCCGGAAGCAGTTCAGCAATCCATTTTTGGTGTGTAGACTATGATTGTACCTGCCACACAGTAATACTAATGCAAAAATGACACTGGCCTAGAAAGCTCTCAATTCTGTATCAACAATAGAAAAGGGCCCATCACCATTTGTAAACAAACCGTTCCAAAGCCCATTCCTCACAAATCGAAGGTCGCTCACACAAACCAACACCATCATCGTGTAGGTAGAAGTTGCCCACTATCCGATGATGGTGTTGATTTGCGTGGGTGGATTTCGCTTTGTGAGTAAAGGGCTTTGGAACGGTTTGTTTACAAATACTGATGGGCCCTTTTATATTGTTGATCCAGAATTAATAACTTTGGAAGTGCTCAAAGAACATTGTGTTGGCTACTGGCGTGAAGTCCCAGTAGGGACGTAATAATGTCAAAGAAGATGTACACTCTAAAAAAATAATTTGAAAAACAAAATAAGCCTTATGCATGAAATCCGTTAATTGTAAAAATGTAGCATGAAACTGCTTCTTAATGACGTCGCCACTCACTCGTGTTATCGATTCCAAACAGTATTTACTTCGTCAGCAAAAGGGTTTGACAACAACTGCTATAGAGTGAAGAGTTATCGTTTACTAAATTGTTTACTCACTTTTGTCGCAGTAAACATCTACTCGTAGAACGGAAAAACTGCGCAAACTCAATGTGTAACTAGCAGCTTTGGCAAACTATTATTTTATAGCTAGTGCATGGGCAAACATGAAAGGCTTCAATTCACGATAGAGTGGCATTATGCTACATCTGCACTACTGCCTCGCTCCCTTGTTAATTTACAGTTCGTGCCTAACTGCTTCGTATCGCTTCCGATTTATTGTGCATTGACATTGAAAACTATGAAACGTTAATGCTCTAGAACACAAACAAGATATAGGTTTCAGATTGTAAATTTCAAATGTTACAGGTTGAGTGCATGATTAAAACTGAATCTCATTAAGCATATTAACAATAATTGAGCAATTTTAGTTCCAGTCAGCATAACTAGTAGAATAGTCTAAAATGTAGTTGCCGCGCTTATTTAATTTTCGTTTTGTCTTCTGCAGTGTATCATATAATTTTTAAACCTAGCATTAACCAATTTTCAGGAGCAAAGGATCCATGATGCAATGTATTCGAGCGCCTCGCTCACCTACTAGACAGAATACCCCATCTGAATCGAAAAAAGACAGAAAGAAACACAAAAAGTAATAGTATAAACCATATTCAAAATTTAAATCTAAACATAGTCCATGATGCAGCCTACATTTTTCACTAAACTAATCGGAATTGTATAATCATTCAAATTTGTTGAAGAGCTTCTCTGTATAACCGTGTAAATGTGTCTTTACTATCTGTTTTTTTCTCAACTCTTAGGTGTAGGGTATGCTTATAGAATGATGTAACTGTTAATCTCTTCAAGTGAATCATGTGTGATACTCGAGAAAAACAATGTTAATGTTGAAATATGTATTTAGGCTGCCTTATTCTGCAACAACAGCTGCATTTTTTTTTAATTATTGGGATAAAATCAGGACCGGAAGTAGTCCAACCAACCAACCCACAACGATGCGATGACTTATTCTAGTTTGTAATTTTTGGAAATGCGTGTGTCTTCCCGTTTGTGGCTACTCTCGATACTATACTCTAATATCTACCAATATAAAAAAAAACATTGGAAAGTTAGAGGTCCATTATGTGTCGTTCTAATACTTTTCATTTCGAAGTTAAGCACGATAAAATCGTTTGTTTAGGCGTGTACATTTTTTAATCGTGGAAAAGTGAATGATTAATATTAGCCTATATTACTATCACAGTACATTAAGCAAACCGTTATTTTATGCAGTGCAAGTGTGTTTTAAGTACCGTGAAATTCCTAGTGCAATTTGAAAGAAATATATGATGTAAATGAAGACATAAAACGTCTGATGATGATGATGATGATTATTTTTCCACCTCTTACTCCTACAAAGGTTTGAGCAGAACGATTTATCTTTAAGATAATTAATTGACACACACAATAATTAATTAATTGGATTTCAGGCGGAATTTCCTTTAAACAATGTTATATTGAAAACGTGTGATCTTCAAAACCAAGTTTCTTCTTTCAATTTAGATCATGGTATATATTTTTGTCGACTTGCTTTGTTTCGAAGCGTAAATTTTCAATGAATTACCGCATACTTTCAATTCTGTTTTTACGCGAATTTGTTCTCGTGATGGGTACATAATTTTTAATACTACCATATTTTTTTATGATTTTTTGATACAAGTTGCATTAAATTCTATTTAAATTTGAGTTCATACGATCAAATATAGAGTCGGAAAAAATAGCATAGGATCAGAATTGAGTGTATAGAAATTATTTAAATATTTTATAAAAATCAGTTCCGCCTAATTTATAAAGTGATACCATCTAGAATCATCGTATGCCGGTGCCGGTGGTGTAGTGGTAAGCGTGACTGCTTTCTCACACCAATGGGTCTGGGTTCAATCCCAGTCGAGGTCGGTGGGATTTTTCTGAGGCATAAAAATCTCTGGTCACGTCTTCCTTCTGAAGGGAAGTAAAGCCGTTGGTCCCGGCCCATGTGTGTTGTGAATGGGTGCGATATCCTACACAGGTGTGGAAGCTGCCTTCCTGCACATTCGATTGCCGTCAATGGATGGCAATCGATGTCCGTCGGTGATTGGCACTACACTCATAAAATAAATCACATAACCAGTGGAAAATATCCATGTGAATTTCACATAACTTTCATGTGATCCCATAATTGGAAATTGCACCTCTAAATCACATGAACGTTATGTGTCCAATGAAATCTATATGATTTCTCATATAGAATTTCTAATGCTATGTGATATTCAGATAAAAATCATTGTTTTTGTTTTTGGAAAAATACTATGTGCGTTCCTAATAGAAACTAAGTGAAAACTTTTTTCAGTGTAGATTGCGGAACAGAGACCGACGTTAAATAAAGGAAAGAAGAAAAGAAGAATCATCGTATGAAGGTTTTGTAAAAAAAATATGAAATCTGAAAAACAATTGCCTATTCGCTACAGTTTACTGTACGAACCGCCTTTGCATGTCACGTAAGAATCATACACAGCAAATGTAAGAAACGACACTTTCGTTGTATGTATTTAATTGTATAGTGTATTTTAGAGTGAGTGGATTTGCACTGAGGTCCCGAAAAAAGTGCATTGTTTGATGTAGGGATTCGTTTGCGATCTAGATTTGCGCCAAACTTTCAAAACTAGTAGAGAAATTTGTATGCGAAACGGAAAATCAACATTAATTTGCCTGTGAAAAAATTATACATGGCTCAATATCATCCATACTTGAAGGGTACACGCAAAACAAATGGCATGATCATAAAATCAAAGCTCAAATTTCATCTGCCGACAGGTCACAAGTAACTTAAAATGTGACTATAAAACAAAAAAAAAACTCGAACAGTTACGAACAGGGGCTACATTTCAAGAGAATCCGGAAAACACGCGTTTGCTCAGAGACGTAAAAATCAAATCAGATTGAAGCTGATGGACTGAGGAATCACTAAATACATTCAAACACCGTATTTTTTTAACAAAAAATTCAGTGAAATTATCGTTTTTGTTTGCCGAAAAAAAGTTTCTGTCGGTTGTACCGGTAGTCGATTTGGAGTTATGTTAATTTACTTGGAGAGTTCTGTCAGTTAGATAATTTTGAACTAGTTAATACAGAGTGGAAAACTAAACAATCACACCTTCATGCCAAACACTGTCGAATGCTTTTTCCAAGTCAAACTTGTAGGACGGTAGCTAGAAAAAGCTGGATTTTTATCCGGCTTCAAAATTAGAACAACTTTTGCATTTTTCCATTTGTCAGGAAAGTATGCCAAATGGATACATCTGTTAAATAATTTTAACCAAGAAAGACAAGTCTCTGTGAATTCTTGATGAGGATATAGAAAATTCCATCAACACCTGAATCTTTCAAACGTTACTGGAAGGTGATCAGAACCGAATTCAGCATGGGTAACCAATTGGCTACAAAGTTGACATGAATCAGTTAAGACCAAATCAGGGATTTCTTGCTGAAAAAAAGCATGCTGAGCTGTTTCGATATTGAATAGTGTAGTAACCTGCAGAACAATCATCAAACATTACATAGCTTTGAGCATTATTCCATGAGCGGTGTATTGGTGAGTTTAAACCAATAATAAAAGATTTAGACCTATGACGGGTAAGTTTCTGAAGGTCACCCTTGAGAAAATTATTTTGCTGGCCTACGCATTGAAATGGCAAATAGGAAACTATAAACGTAAGTTGCCCGAATTTCATTTCGACATAAACTCCCAAAGTTTCAAAAACATTGGTTTCAAATGAAGAAAGAATTTGATGTTTGGTACGACTATGAACAATGATTGCAACCCCACCATCGGCTCCATCAAGACGGTAATTTTTATAAATGAAATAATTTTCGCCCCGGTTAAACCCTTATGTTCAGGTTTAAGGATCGTTTCAGTTATAACGGCGCTATGCACGTTATAAACTCTCAAAAAGTGAAATAGCTCGTCTTAATTATCTTTAATAGATCGAGCATTCAAAATAGGTATTTTATTATTTAAAATCCATTACTGAATTTCAAAGTCATAACTAAGTTATTAGCCAATTTTACTCCAGTTTGAATAGCTAGTTAGTTAGTTTTCAGCATATCAGATTCGTGATTCATGATTTCTGTAAAATTCCATTTTAGGAGCAGTAATGCTTCCTAAGTCAATTTTTTTTAAATTTTCGTTAGAATTATGTTGTCTAGAATTTTGTTTTCGATTTCTACCAGCTGCAATAGCAGCATAGGTAGCTCCATTTACTTCCATTTACGGGTACGAATGTAGAATTTGTTGTTCTTTGATCGTTGTTAACAGCAGAGAAATTAGTACCTGATCGGGAACGTGGAGCGTGTCCTACCTATCGCTTAGAACGAGATTATAGGATCGCTTTGCGAGTCCCAAAAATTGGATTTGTGGTTTACACCACAATTTGAATATTTAAATTTCTTATGATTGTGAACCAGGCGTCCTTTGCGTTAGAGGAATCACCACAATTCATGCATTTAGCAGGCATGTAGCATTTTTTTTGTTTCGTGACCTCATCCCTGGCATTTACTGCACTGGGTGAGGTTTTGGAAATTTCCTCCAGTCTTCCTGAAGTGTTCTCACTTCACTCGGACATAGAGCACAAGGCCTTAAAGTTGTTTAGTTCACTAAACTTGAAGTGAACTCATTTCACTCGGACATAGAGCACAAGGCCTTAAAGTTGTTTAGTTCACTAGACTTGAAATGAACAAAATAAAAAAATTAGAAATCCCGTTGCGTGAATCGTCGGGATTTCATTTTCATTTTGATAACTTAGACTGGCTCAACTCCATGTAATTTTGTCAATTCATCTTTAAACCTTTCCAGGGATTCATCACTGGGCAGCCCTTTCATGACAACCTTGAACAAACGTTCAGTTTTGTTATCGTAAGTAAAGAAATTATGCTGATTCTCAGTAAGATACTTTAGTAGACGTTTGAATCCGTCCAAAGTTTCAGGAAAAACACGGCATTCACCCCGACGGCCAATTTGTAGTGAAAACTTTAATTTAACAAAGTCCAAAAGTTCCGCGCGAAGAGTATAAGAATTGGAAATAGTTACCACAATAAAGGGGACCTTTTCCTTCTTGGCATTAAGTCGGAAAATTTTATTAGAATTTTGCCTGGATGGTGGATCATAGTCATCATCCGTGAGCATACCAAATTAATTGCTCAAATTAATTTCATCAGAAGAGGCATCAAGAGATAGTCCTTTTCTTTTGTGTTTAAGTGCCATGGCGGCTGATAAACGTTTTTCCAAAACGATTTCCAACGCAGAGGAATTTTAAGTCAATGTCCAAGCAGCATTACCTCGGCTAGGGTTCATACAAGGATTGAAGAGGAATTAAAGTAAAAAAAGGTAGATCATTTGAAGATACTATTTAGCACTGAGAAGTGCTGTTTTAAATGTGTTGTAGCTTTAGCTTCAACAAAAGGCAAATAGATCCGAACAGGAAGAAAACACGATGCGGACTATAGTTTTCTTTTTATTTTTTCATCGGAAGGCTTTTTAAATAGTTTTGTTATTTTTATTCTTTATTAATTTATTTTATAAGGCTCAATCGAATTAACTTTACAGAGCCGAGGATTCTTGTTCACCAAACAGAACATCGTTAAACTATAGTCAAATGGTACAACAAAATAAACACTTTATCTTCCACTCCAATAAGCCTCCTTCAATCAGAACGGGATCCGCTTCCAGTGGTTTCATTGTATGGCAGTATCGCCAACGGGGGGCAGAGTGCTTCCATTGCAGCAATGGACGCAAAATGTGGTCATCAGTCACACACTCATCACGACTTTCCAAAGTCGACGAAGCATCGACCGAAAGAACTGCTGATGAAGAACAATGAGAAGGACCACACAATGGTTGCTGCCAACTAAACAGATGATCGCGTGACACACATCGAGGGTAGCCTGTTTATGTCGACAGCCGAGTGAACACTGTTATTTTTATGTAAGCTAAATTTTCGAACAAAGTTTGATTTTTCAAATGCACTGAGCCTAGAAAACTTGCTTGTACGGTACAGTTCATTGAAAATACTGCAGTACATTTGTTGTAAGAAACATATACAGAAAATGTAATAAATCCACACTTACTTTTGATATTCATGCCATTTGTTTTGTGTGTAGTGTTGAGATTTTAAGTTTGGAAAACTTAAATATCTCAATATAATACAACCTTAATTATGTCAGATATATGAACGTCTGGTAAACTGTACTTAATTGTTGTAAATATTTGTGTTACAAAAGAAATACAGTATTAAAACTCAGAAACAAAGTTTTGGAATTTGTTTACAAGCTAGCACTCATGTCTACTTTATAATATCAGCTTTTTATTTAGTATACATAGTTTTTAAGCAAATATATTTTTTTATATTCAGCTCAGAATTGCATCTATTTTACTTACTATGAAATGAAGGCCAAAACATTGTCAATAAAATGTTCACAACAAGAAATTTAATAAATTAAGTGTATTGTTTCAAATGAATATCGATGATTTGTATAAGAAATTATATTCTATACTTTTAAAATGAGCTCTGAATTGTAAGGGGATGATCAGGAAATGTATCGTGATTTGTGGTGCAAATTTTTCTATTGTACCCAACCTATTCGTTATATACCAAAGGCTTCGATGTGCCGGCTTTGCTTCATACGCGAAAAAGAGTTGAATTTTTAGGTACTAATAAGTAGTTCATTGCTTGAAAGGGTCGATTGGTAATGTCTATTAATATATTACTAAATATTTACTAACATATTCCATACAAATGTAGGTACTGACAATTTTCTAACAGGTGGCTGGTGGCGGTAACCTTTATGTATTGCATTGTATTGAAATTGGTGATGGAATGTTGCCCGCTTCTTCCGTACTTTGGATTGCCTTTCCCTTTCTATTGTGCTACATTTATTCGCTTTCTGCTTACTCCTAGCTATATGGGACTTCCATTAGGACCAGAGACTAATAACGAGTTCGCATTTTCTTTTCTTTTTCCATCTATCATCCGTACTCGCACGTCCTTGTGCTGTTACATGTCGCACTGCATCCCATCATATACAGAAATCAAGCAGAGATGACACACACTTGTCGCGGTACAATATCCCTCCATGGCGCCCTTATCCACACTGTGGACTCCTGTACGTTTGTGATATCGAATGGTGGAACCCAAACGTTTCACATTAAAGCTGGAAACGAAGTGGAACGACAGTCCTGGGTAACTGCATTAGAGCTGGCCAAAGCGAAAGCAATGTAAGTGTCTCCTTTTTTCTGCTAGATTGCATAGTACCGACAAAGCAATGTTCTTGTCCTATATGTTCCTTTCACAGACGCGCCATGGAAAGTGACGATGAGGAAGAAGAAACAGCAGCCAACACGATACCTAGCGAGGAACTCATCTTAGTAGTAAGGGAGTTAACTGTTAGATTAGAAAATTTAAAGACATGCTACGATCTGATAACTAAGCATGGTGCAGCATTGCAGCGCGCCTTATCGGAGCTGGAATCCGGTGAAGATCTAGCGAATAAAAACAAGATAGTCAGTGAACGTGCAACGTTGTTCCGAATATCCTCCAATGCCATGATAAATGTAAGCACATATTGTTTTAATGAAAACAGAAGGATTCTCAATCATTTGATTGTCTTTTTGCTCTTCGACAGGCTTGTTCGGATTATTTACAAACAGCGCAGACCCAGGGTCATAAATGGTCCAAGATGTTGCAGCACGAACGTGATCAGAAACTTCATCTGGAAGAAATGGTCGAACAATTAGCTAGGCAACACTCGCACCTCGAACAAGCAGCACATCGCCATAGACCGAGTGAGTATTATATCCATATCTTTTTTTTTTGATAATTTTCACACAAAACACCGCTCCAGAACCAACTAATGTACCAAGGTTGTTCACGAATATTTATCTTCATTGTGAGAGGCGTGATGTAAAACCTATTTAATCTGGAAGGGTTCAAAGGACTAAGTAGTCCATGTTGCTTATGAAAAACAAGGTTTTAATAAGGAATAGAAACAGGTGATTGTATCAATGGTGGTAAAGATACACCATATTGCTAGCGCAAACATTCCGAAGCAATTGGTAATAAAAATGATTAAAAAAATGTTTTACATGCATTTTTTAAATTTGCTTATAACGTTAAAAATTGACTGTTACACTATCAATAACATACTTGATGTTCGGTATTTTTTTTATTGCGTACTGCACCCGGCAAATCTATTAAATTGATATATATTCGGCTTTTTCCATTTTTATAAAGAAAACCAGTAAGGTCTGGTGAGGCAAGAGTGCCACCTTAATAATTGTACGTTCAATATATTTAATTTTACAATATTGTTCAATACATAACAAATAAACCATGTTTACCAATGAAATCAAATGAAAACTATTGTTTATGATATTTGGTTTTGCCAAATTTGGTGAAAACAAGCTGACCGAAGTCTGAAATACACAATGAAGCAATTTCTTCAACATTTTTGTATTATTTTATTCATAACTGTAGGGGAGGCACTCTTGCGCGGTGTGAGGCTCATTTTAAGAAGGTGATTGTTTACCAATTAAAGAAAATATGTACCTATTAATGCTTCAATTAATAATTAATAGTGATGCCTCAATGCAGGCAAAAAATATTTGGATGTATAATTGTTATAAATAATTTCGAATTTCATGTGATGTGATCTGCACAAAATTATTTTTTGCAATTTTAGTAAGTTTTTATTTTGGACAAAATTTTCTATAATGCTGCACTCTTGCCCCACCTGTCCCTAATATGATTTACTGAAGGCCAGAATTTTCAAAAGTTATTTACTGCATTTTTCATTACTGATTTTTTTCTGTAAACTGCAAGTCGTTATGGCTATTCATTATGGCAAAACTGCTTTTGTAAACAATGACTGCAAAAAAAGCTTACTCCTACAAATTACCCATACCAGCTGGCGGAGGAAACATTCCTCTACTTGAGTATAGTTGGTATAGTTGATTTGCATGTGCGACCTTTTAATTGTTTTTACAAAAGCAGCTTCTCCCTTTTGAAATGTTGGTGAAAAATTCATAATTGCTGTCAATTATTTCGGTAATATTAATTACTCAACTCATCGGTAATCATGCCAGTTTTACTACATGTTCATAATTTTATTACCGACCATTTCACAAATGCACTGCACAAACTTTTATTTTAGATGACGCATGGAACATATGTCAAACACCTCAAAATGACGCCATGGATGTTGTTCTGCTACATTGTTTCAGCTATGCTGTAACATATATTGTTGCAATATTTTCAAGATACTGTTCTGAAGCAGGTCTAATATTTTGTATTACATAAAAAAAACAATGCTATCTATAAAAGGCCGATTCTCAGTAATTTTTGGAAACAAAATGATTTCATATTTACCTCATTCATCTCGTTGAGTCGCAGCGCTGAGCCTAACTATTGACCACGAAAAGGCATTGGCAACATCAAAAATCGACTACATCCGAATATCTTTTATCTCAAATCGAGAGAAGAAATTCCGTGCAAGCTCTACAACAAACCAAACTAGTTCATGTTGCTCTTCGTCAAGCGGACCGTCTACAATTTGGACTGCTACAACAACACATGTAAAACTGCCTTTAGGTTCAATTGGCTTTACTTGGTGAGTTTGTTCCTTATTGTCCATTTTTATCTTTTCAAACCAGTAACGCTGGTAGATCATCTTTTCGTGGTGCGTTACTGGTATAAGGCCTATGACCGAACCCTAGTCCTGACAACTTCAAACTAGGGTGTCAGGGTTTTTCAGTAATCATAGGAACATATTTTAGTCCTTATTACTTTTTATGCCGGGTGGTCGGCGTTATGAATTTCTATATTGTATATTTCATATCAAAAATATTGTTTGTGTTCATAGAGTATGTATAGGTAATCCTTTTCCCTTTGTCCTTCTCCTTTTCCTTTCCTTTTCTTTTCAGAAGTGGACCGTACACGATTGCTTTTATTGACATTATTGACATTCAGTATTGTCGTCGGCACATCGATATTGACAATATTTCTGTATTCACATCATCAATATTATTGTCAATAATTCCCCATCGCATCAATATATTGAAAATGAGTGGGGTTCGCGGTATGTGCGACGCATCCTCAATGTTAAACATAGGGGAAATGGCTCTAATGTTGGCCTATGGATTTAAGATTGGGCCCATCGCTAAAAATCAGCTATTTATCAATTTTATCTAGATGAACGCGTCATTGGGACGGTTCTAATGGATATTTTTGGTTGCTATTGAAAATTTAGTCGATTGCTGAATTTATGTATGGGCCCAAATTAGGGGCATTAGGCCAACATTACATCCATTTCCTCTATTTGAAATAGACAAGAAAAATAATTGAGGTATATCAATCATTTTCCAGGATGCTTTCAAGAACTGGCTGTTGGTGTAGACTAGCTTAGATTAGACAAAAAGATTTCATATTTACCGAACTTTGTTAAACAAATTACTGAGCTGCTCAGCTATCGCTAAATTTTCAAAAAAGTACTGAGTTACTGTCACGTTAAAGTAATCGTTTCGGTTATATTTGACAGCTCGAAAGCGTAGCTTGACTACCGAGCACTCTTCAACTGTTTAATTACCGAATCGATCGTCGAGTGCTCAGTTGTTCAAGTTCGTCAAACAAAATATCGAGTTCGATGAAAAAAAAAATAAAAGTTTCCATCTATTTTTGGCTTTTTTATTAGTCAATATTTGTACGAAAATTGTGAATTATTTAGTATGAAAATCCAGCGTGATCCTGGGCACTCCAAATGACTACCATTGAACTGGTTGTTGAATGTTCATTTGATTTGAGGTATTTTGACCTTAGTCAGAAACTGGTAACTTCTTCGGGGGTACAGGAACATGGCCGGATGTGGCCAGTGTGATCATGGGCACTTCAAATGACTAAAATTGAACTGTTCTTTTTTAATTCTCATGTGATTTGGTGTGTCGAGTTTTATTCGTTTAAGGTCAGATTTAGTCTCATGGCCCCCGGAACAATTTCCGGTCATATCTCCGGAGCTGGATGACCGATTCCAAAACTAAGCGTTCTATGGGACCATGATATCTTTCATTTGGAGATTTTTGTGTCCAATTCGGTTCAGTGGTTGCCTAGAAACACTACTTTCGTTCTCGCACACACAAGTAACACACACATACATTTTCCGATCTCGTCGAGCTGAGTCTAATGGTTTATGACACTCGGCCCTTTCGGGCCTCGCTTCGAAAGTCATTTTTCCAAGCGACTCTCTGTAATAAGGGTAAAATATGTTTCCTAGTGACTTATATTGCAATCACGTCTGATTGCTGAATTGATCACATTCTTCTGGACAGTGCTTTCGTCTATTGATTAAATTAAATTATTATCAATTACTACCCTCTGCTTTGATTCGCTCGCCACGTCTGATCGTTCACTGAATTGAAAATAAGTAGCAAACCCACATTCTACTCTCTCTGAATATTCCTGGCGATTGACTGACTGGGTGTCCTTGAAGAAAGAAATGCTTGTTATCGGCTTTTGGTATTTGATAAAGTATTTTACGAAAGAAATAAAAACCCTTTGTCTTTGTGGCTTCTAGGCCTAAAACAAAACGTAATATATCCGAATAAATTCAAGATCAACAATTGAAAAGGTTTCATCAGCTTTTGTAAACAAAACTTATTGAGAATCGGAGCTCACTCATGACATTGATGCAAACCTAGTACATCACCAGGTACACACATAGATTTGTTTTGCCGAGACGGGCTCCACCGAGCAGCTCGGCATTTCATTTTGCTGGATCTCAGTGAAAAATTTGCTGAGATTCAGCTAACAAACGGGAATTTCGCCGAGATCTCATATTTTAGAAACAAACATAAATTTTGCTGAATCTCGGCAAGTTTTTTACTGAGATTTTTACTGAGAAATAAAATGCCGAGCTGCTCGGTGATGCCCATCTCGGCAAAAAATCTAAGTGTGGGAAAGTGGTGTTGTTATGCGTAGACGAGCTCCGATTGATGAAAAAATCCCAAGAAGTTTTGTTTACAAAAGCTCAAATTGTCTCTTTTATCTAACCCATATTTTTAAATCAAGAATCTTCAATATTGTTTGCAATTACAGCAGCAATTAATTCAGCATTATATGATATATTCAATACTATAGTAATCACATTCATATATCTCGGAGCGTTTGGTACGGTATATTCACGCATCCTTCCAGCCTTGTATTCAAGAAATTCTTCGTTGTTTAAATATGTTTTATTTTAACTAGAAAAATGATGTTATCTAACTTTATCATTTTTTTTTTTTTTTTTTTTATTTATTATTTTCCAGGAGTCTTTCTCGTATTTCATGCGTTTGTATAAAATTAGTCTAGATTAGATTAGAAAGATCACGTTCAATCAGTGCTGCAAAATCTCGATAATACACGGCAAGACTCAAAATTCTGTTTTGGTCACTCATTTGAACTGACAGTCATCGTCAAAGCAAACCATGTCAATTGTCAGTGACAATGCTGTCAGTGACGAACATGTGCAGATTTTTTTTTTATTAGCTAAATTTGAAACGAAATTAAGTGACTTCACCAAAATAATTACATAGGGGCTTTAAAGTGAACAAGCATCTGAACTGCTTGGATAACAATAATGTGACTCAGAATGCACGAAATTACACTTTTTGTTACTAGGTGAATCTTTGACATTGGCGATTTTTTTTGAGGATCAAGTCTATGTGAAAAACAATTTTGTCAATATCTCACGAAAGTCTGTCAATGACAATGACAAATTTCAGCACTACGAAGGCATCCAAGTTAAATATATCAA